CCCACCAGTAGTCACGGGTAACTTTGTAGACACCTGTGTCACACCCAGGATGACTTCTTGCCCTTCCTTTACAGTGGACACCTCAGTTCTTCTCTGAGTCTTGCCTATCGTGTGCCTGCCCTGCCTGCTCTCTGCCATTCCAGAGTAGCTTTGTCCCATCTTGTACCTCCCCTAAGGACATTTAGGTATCTGTGGAGCAAATGCCACCACACTGGGGGTTCCATGACTGGGCAATATTTATTTCCAATAAAGAGGCCACTAAATACAGAAAATAAATGGGTTGAATGAATGGGTTGAGAACGTGAGCAGTTCACAAGGAAGTCATCATTGGCAGAAAGGGGATGTGATACTAGGCTCACTAATTGTTCAGGAAACACAAATTAGTTCGCATCTATTGTGGGAGCCCTAATGAGGAAATAAGAGGCTGCAGTGCTCAGACTCCCTGGTGTGTGGATTCTGCCCCATTTTGGGAAAGCCGCTTGGCGGGTGGTTTTGAGGTGTGTGTGTTTGTTATACTGGGAAGATTCCCAAGGCATCCACGACAGCAGCAGGCTGCATGTGGCCCTCACCCCTAGCCTGCAGACTTATTCCAAAAACGGCTCAGAGGCTCCCTCTCCATACAGGATGGAGCGGTGTATGTGCTGTGGTGATGAGAACATGTGTTTTCATGCATGGTCTTTGAGGTGGTGGTAGCAGTCAGCTCCCATTTGGGCTGGAGTTGATAGAAGGCAGACTATGTTCTCCTGGCATCCTCGCTTATGCCACTGTCTTCATTCTGGTTCCCTCTCCCCTCTCCAGGCTTTGTTGCCTTATCATCTCACAAGGCCCTGGGACTTCTGCTGTAGGAGTCCCCACTCAGGTGATGGCCTTGCCACAGGCATGCCTGCCTGCCTTCCAGCTGACACCCACATCCTTGCCAAGGATCTGTGCTGGGCTTTGCAGTCCTCGAGCCTGGGTGGAAGCCCCCCTTGGCATGTCACCTAGGTGTCTCTGCTACCCACAGGCCCTCTCTATCCTGGGTGGGAGGCCTGTTCCTCCTAGGGGGGTGGGTGGGTGGGTTGGTAAGACAGGTTCAGGAGCCTTCTGTTTGTGGTCAGGCCACTGCCTACCAACAGGCTGGCTGAGGTGACACTGCCAACTGGAGTTGAGGCCAGAGGCCTGATCTGATGCTGCACAGACCTCCAGGATTCTTGCCTGTCCAGTGTGGTAAGGGCCAGGGCTCAGGGACAGACTCCTGGTAGCATTTCTCAAGGTCTGCAGACTGACTCTATCTGGAATGTCCAAGTACTGCTTCCTACACAGTGCTCAGTGCCCTGCCTGTCATGGCCAAGAGTGGGGCAGAGCCAGAGGGGTGAGCCCCTCAGGGAGATTCCGAACTTACATGAAGCGGGGGCAGAAGGAGGGAGAGAGGGTAACATTTTCCACAGGGCTGAAGGCCTCTCTGTACACCACCCAAGTTATGGCAGAGCCCGCAAGCCTGACCTGTCTCAGCTCCTGTGACGCTTCCAAGGAGGGTCCTGGCCATAGGGTGTCTGCGGCACCAGCTGGCTGCCAGTCCCAGGCTGCCCAGGTGTTCTGCCTCTCTCTCCTTCTGGCAGTGAGACAGTGTCTGCCCAAGGACAAGGACACTCTGTGCTGCCGGGCTTGCTTTGCGGGGACTGCTGGTCCAGGAGTGTATGGGGACCTAGGGCTCTAAATATACCAGAGTGAGGTCACTAGGGTGGAAATAGGCCATGTGGCAAGCTCAGGACCCTATCAGGCTGAATCCCAGGACTGGGGACAGGGAGCTGTGGCCCTGCTCTCCCTGTGCAACTGGCCTCCTCACCATGCAGTCTCCTTTTGCACCACATCCCTACTCGAAGGCACATTAAGGTATGTTGATTGTGTCTTCTCTCAGATCCGCCTCTTTAGCTCAGTTTGAAGTAGCTTTCTAGAGCCAACCACAGCCCCAAATGAAAACATCATGAGACGAGGCCATTGTTGCCAGGGCGCAAATTGGCCCCTGGCAAAGGGGCAGCTTTTCGAGAGCTCTGTTGGGCACAGTGAGGGCTACTGTCGTGATCTGTGGTCACTGCAATTTACACCCACACTGCCTTTAGCTGGAAATGGGGCAGATAAAAAAAAAAAAGCCAAGAATACACAATGCCAGCAGAGTAACAGCCCCACATCCTAGTCACCGGTACCTGGGCACATGGTACCTTACATGGCAGAAGGGACTTTTGTGACTAAGGGAGCAGACCTGGATTGTCCAGGTGGGCACAGCCTGATGCCATCAACTAAACAAGATGGTGATGACATATGGAATCTTTACAAGCAGAGACCATTTCCTGGCTGGTCAGAGGTGTGGTGCGGGGTTGGGGTGCAAGCCAGGAAATGTGGTGCCTACTAGAAGCTGGGAATGGCCTTCAGATGACAGCCGCAAAGAGAACAGGGACTTCAGTTCTGCAGCACCGAGGAACTGAATCCTGCCAACACCCGAAGGAGCAGGAAACGAGCTCCAAAGGAGGGTAGTCTGCCAACATCTAGATCACAGCCCACGGAGACCCAAGCACACTTCTGACCTTCAGACCTGGGATGACGCATGCATTTTGTTTAAGCCAGTCTGTGATCATGTATGAACACTTTGGCAGCAAGAGGAAACTGATACACCATGGTGCTGGCAAAGATAGAAAGATAAGGGAAATAGGCTTCCTCACCTTCGAATGGGGAGCAGCCTCCCTAGGGGCTAATTACAGTAGTTCATGGCCTGGAAGCCCGCAGCCCCTTTGGTTGCTTGTTAGACCAAAGTCACATCTGAGAAAGGTAGTGATAGCAGCTTTGTCTATAACAGCCAGTGAAACACCCAAGTGTCCCCCAACTGGCCCTGCTTGGTGGGGCCTCCCCTCACTGGAAAGCTGAGCAAAAGGAGGGGTCTGTGCTGCTGGGCATTTCAGATGTTAGTGAGAAAGAGCAAGACATAAAACCATGTTTTGTTTTTTTAAAAATATGGGATAAGTATGTGCACAGGCTTGTGTATGCAAGGAATATTTCTTGGAAAGCTACAAGGAGATGCTGCAGTGGCCGGGTGGAGATGGACCTTTCCTTACTGTATCATGTCTACATGACTCTGTGTGTGTGTGTGTGTGTGTGTGTGTGTGTGTGTGTGTAGAGGGTGATATGCTCACTGTGTAGTTTGTGGGAGAAGGGGCTTACTCCAGATGTGGGCTTCCCTATTCCAGCCAGCCCACTGGAAACCTGCAGCTGCTCAGTTGATGAAGATGTAGGAGTTCTTATTCTCTATTCAAATTCTTCAGCAAGAATGTTTTGTCAACATGTACTACTAGGCGAAGGCTTGCCTCTTCATTAGCGGTGTCTTTAGTAAACCTAAGTTCTTGGATTTTGATTAAGATAGTTTCCGGTTTGTCCATATTTTTTCTTGAATGGTTAGTGTTTGGGGGTTCCTAAGAAATCTTTGTCTACCCCAAAGTGGCAAAGATCTTCTCTTATTTCTTCTAGAAGCCTGAGAGTTTTTGCTTTCATATTTAGGTCTATGATTCATTTTGAGTTAATCTTGAAGTGCTTGGTGTAAATGGAATCACCACATATATTTTTTAATATGTTTTTATTGATCTTAGAGGGAGAGGGAGATAGATAAAAACATCTATGAGAGGGAAATGATTGGTTACCTTCCTGCGTGCGCACCAACACAGGTGCGCGCACACACATGATCAAGCCTGCAACTCTGGCATGTGCCCTCACACACCGGCCAGGTAGCCATATATATTTTATGTGATACTTCCCTCCCCGTGGTTTGAACTCCATTTTATTAGTACAGTGGGGCCTTGACTTACAAGTGTCCCGACTAATGAGTTTTTCGAGATACGAGCCGTCTCTCAGCCGATTTTTTGCTTTGAGTTGCAAGCTAAAATTCGGGTTACGAGCCAGCTTCAGATACCCCACCGCTAGTTGGCACAGCAAACGTCACAGTGAACGCCACAACATCAGTCCAGCATCAAGTGTCTCACTCGTTCACTTTATGATTTGACATACGAGTGATTTGAGTTACGAGCTCCGTCACGGAACGAATTAAACTCGTAAGTCAAGGCCCCACTGTATACAAAAGCTGCAGTTTGCTCATTTCTATGGCTCTTGAATTTCTCACTGTGTTCCTTCAAACTCCTAGAGGACACTGGTGTTATAACGTTTGAACATGTCACCTGCAACTTTCTGTATCATCTCCTATCTGTAAAATATGATGATAATAGTATCTATCCTGGGGTGGTTGTGACAACTAAACCAAGGTGGTAACATATGGGAACATGTATTAGTAGGACAGGGCCTGTCTTGAAGCAAGTATCATAAAGGGTTGTAATTGCTTGGTCATAAGATGTACATACGTGTTTGTACTAGACAAAGCCCATCGCTCCCCAGTCAGCTGTGCCAAGAACACTCTGGCATTGTCAGGTACCATTTCTGCCAGGTGGGTTTGTACAGCGTGTTCACTTGAGGGTTCGGTCTACACTTCCTGATTACTGGGAGACTTGAGCACTGATGCTACAACCTCCTGTGTTTTGCTCAGGGTCTCTGTATGTTCCAGATTGGGATCATTGGGGCCTTGTGGCATCTGTCTTCTCCCACTTTGACTTTTTGCTCTCTTTATAGTTTCTTTGGATGCACTCTAAAGGTCTTGTTAAGGTAGCCAAATCTATTGGATTATTATGTATCAATCTTTTCTTTTAAACTTGGTGTATTTTATTTAACACTTAGCCTCCCACCCTATCAAATGGCAGAGTAGAGTGTATCTCTTTGATCAAGAGCAGATCTTGTTTCATTAATGTCATGAGTTTTGGTTGTGTAACAGACACTCAAGAGTGAGTGCTGGGTGCCATGTTGCCCCCGGGCAGAGGTGTGCAGCAGGGGCTTCAGAGATGCCAGCTCCACTGGCTCTTGGTGTGGGAGAGGTGGAGCAGGCTGGGGTAGGGAGAAGGGCAGGGTTGTGATGAGTGGCTTTTGTCTTGCAGATCCGGAACATGGTGGCGGTGTTGGAAGTCATCTCCAGCCTGGAGAAATACCCCATTACCAAAGAGGCACTGGAGGTGAGTGTCCCAGCCCACAGTACGTGCTTGAGAGTGTCATCTTTCCTTGGGCACTGAGGAACCTGGGGTGGGGTTGGGGGTTCAGTCCCAGAGTTGGGGTTCCATCTTTCACAAGATGCCTTACACTCTTGGGGAGGGGGTGAGGAGGATACCCAGGGGAGACTGCAGTGGGTGTTGCTGGCCCTGGGCTCTTTTGTTTGCTGTTGCCTTTCCCACAATGTACTGTCATCCAGAAAGCTTCCTTGACAAAGGGTCCTTGCAGTGGCCTTGGCGCCAGTAGCCTGCAGGACAGTGCTTCTGAGAATGCTGCCTCTGGCCCTGGGACCCTAGGGTCTGAGGACTATATTTGAGAATTTAGATGTCACAAAGGATCCAAATTCCCTTTAGGTTTTGTGTCCGGTAAGCCAGTGGTTTAGGGGCCACAGGGGACTCCGTCTCAAAAAAAGTGCCATGGTCTTTCTCTGGTTGTAGGAGACGCGACTTGGGAAACTCATCAATGACGTCCGCAAGAAGACCAAGAATGAAGAGCTCGCCAAGCGGGCCAAGAAGCTGCTGCGGAACTGGCAGAAGCTCATTGAGCCTGTGCACCAGAATGAGGCAGTGTTGCGGGGGCTGGCGGGTGCCCCTGGCTCTGCTAACGGGGGTGCCCACAACTGCCGG